ATTGAATTATTTCTATTGTCACTTAAAAAATTCTTATTTACCCACCTATCTGCATCAGAGGAGAAAGCTATATTGGCTCTTTACTTTAGAAATCCAAATGATTCACATTTATATGGTAAATATTTGATGTTGAAGAGCACATAGATGGCTATAGAAGTAATAGCAAAAAGGTTGCATAAAATCTGGAGGAAAAATGTTATCCCTATGGTCACCATTTATGAAGAATACTCTGAACAGAATATTTTGTTGAGTTTATGAAAACATTGGCTGTCACTAGCTGTTACCAATGCTGCTGAATAGCACACACTTTGAGAATTCTTATCAGCGAGGAAGACAAGACGCAACTTAACCATGTGTCCCTTTTACCTTCAGTTGGCTCTGTTTGGAATAGTGCACCCAGCTCACAAACCCTTTGATCAGTCACCAGTCAACATCCTTCTTATTAAGTATAAGAAGAACCTGACAAGGCCCAGAAATATATCATTTCTATTAGCTTTGGAGCCATATTGACTGCAATTTAATTTTACAATACCGAACATTAGAAAATTTATGTTTCAGAGATATGGAGTTGAAGTATTGCCCCAATGAACCATTAGAAATAAAAAATACTTTAAGGAAAATAATATATCTAAGGAACTATTTTAAAACTTAGCAGTAAAAGGATGTAGATTCACGTTATCTTTGACCATATTCCATGAAGGTAGAAAAATCATCTATATAGTTCACAATTTCCTTTGGGTATATCATGATGCTTGGCGTTTAATTGTCCAATTATTTTCTTTAATGGGACCTTGGAAAAAATTAAGATATATCTAACAACATTGCCAGGTTCTGCAAATAGTTCTTTTAACCTTGAACTGAAGAAGAGTCTTTCCATATGTGGTCTTAAAAAGAGCTGTTATGATGCATTGCAACACCTGCAAGTGAATTTGTTAGCCAGCCCACCAAATGTACTCTTATTTCTTTCATGTGCTTTACTGACAATTTAGAGAGCAGGCTCAAGGTGAATGATACTCATAATCTCAAAAAAATCTTCCTGGTTGGCACAATAACTTGAATGCTCAGTAGTATAACATAGAAACTTTCTTACTCGGTTAAGTGTTCTTATTTTAAAGCTGCTGGGCCCATATTTTCTAACCTATGATCACTAAAGATAAAAAGCAGATCTTGTAAATTCCTGTACTAGTGTAACTCTGGATATGATGCATTTGATGATGAGTTCTACACATCTCCCTAATCTCCATTCTCAAAAAAAGGGGATGAGAAAACATGCTTATATTCTTGGGGAGGAGGCTGGGGCATGGGGTTTATGAGGTGCTGAAGGATGGGAAGATTATATCAAGAATTATAAGGAGAAAGGCTGATAGTTGATCTCCATGTTCTCCAATTCCCTTGAACCAGTCTCCATGGCAACTAAGTGGGGGCATCAACCAACTGAGAGATTTCTGGAGTTGTTGGCACTGTCATGGCAATCCCAGGCTGCCTTGAGAGCCAGAATTATCCCCATCAATATTTAAGCCACAGCTTACAAGCTCCATATAGCATCAAACTACAGCTGGGCCCTGGGAGAATATAAATCAATTAGTCAGATACATGGAACTCCCACCTATTCAGTTGCACAGGCTTACCCTGGTAGCAACCTCAACATTTAATATTTTTCACCTTACTTACTGTGTTATGGTGGGGTTTTAACAGTATATACACTACATCATTGACTCTATAATACCATCAATTAAAGATGAAATATTATTCTAAATATCACTAAAAAGAGGAGAAAGTTTCTAAACTCAAATGCCATCAATCATCGTGTAAGCCCCAATTTCACAGAAAGTAAAATGTGAAACACACACACACACAATGTCTTGGAGTCTACTACGTTCAGTTATTCAGATTGAGATAGAAACAGAAGTGCCTACGTAATATGGTAATGTTCTCTTGTCTCTTTTATAATAATCAAGCAAGACTTAATTTAACTTGGGTTTTAATGACAACGTCAGACCGGAGCTTTGAGAACTTCAGCCAGCCACATCATACCTTTCCTTTTGTTTCCCTTTTGATGACTTTTTATTTGTGCAGCCATTGGCTTTCTCAGCCTTCCAGCCTTAATTCTGTCTGCATCTTTTTGTCTTGTCCCTCTTTTTTGCCATATAAGGGAGAAATTCTCTGCCTGACTAGAATGCTTCAGTAAAAGCCAAGAAGGACAAATGCTCTGATGACAGAGTATATAAACAACAGCATGACTTCCCTTAATGTTCTTCCCTGAAACATAGAGAGGTGAATTTTCTCTATTCTCTGCCTGTCTTTGCTACTTTTTGAAGTGATAAATCCCCTGCATTTCATTTGCTTGATTTCTGACAAACCCCTGACGATATCAAAATGACTTTTCACAGTCTTCTCTGCACTCCGAGTTAGTAACTTGGGTATATGGGGCCTCTAGGTGTTCTGACTGTCTCTGATTTTTCCTAGGCTCTTGCTCATGATTTGGTTCAGGTACACTGGCTTCCCTGCTGCATTGGAAAGGACTCTCAGCAATCCCAACCCTTCCCCCATCTCCACTCACCAAGCAAGGACTATGATGTTTTCTGTATCACAAGAGCAATCCTCACAGAACAATGGTGTGGATGGATTGGAAGGGAGTGGCAAGCAGAGGCAGGAGAGGGTATCTCTGCCCAAGGATATTAGTAAACACACAAACCAGAAATGATAACTTGAAAAATGATGCTTATTAGTAAACACACAAACCAGAAATGATAAGTTGAAAAAAAGTTGCTGACCATACATTCGATTTAGTAATTTAACTTCACAATAAATGTGTGGAATTCAGTATAGATACTTGAGATTGAGACCAAGATTCAGGAATCACAGAGACATAAATAATAAATAGTTGGGATTGGAAAGTGAATGTCATCACAGTGCAGAAGCAGAAAAGAAGGACCTGAGTACCTGCAGGCATCTCAAAGGGGCGGGGGTGGCTGCAAGTAGCATCAAGGACAATTTGCTCTTTGAGGTCAGAAGAAAACTAGGCTCACAGGGAATCCAAGAGAAAGGAATGTTGAAAGAAGAAGGAAATCAGGGGCGCCTGGATGGCTCAGTGGGTTAAGCCTTTATCTTTGGCTTGGTGAGTGATATGCCTTTTGTTTTTCCTCCTGAATTTTAAAAATTAAAAACAATTTATAGAAGATACAATGAAAATTATATCTCCTTAATGAAAATTAAAGGGATTTTCCCCCTTTTAAAAATAATTCTATTTATATACAGCTTCAGAAAGTCAATAAAAATATGTGAAGGGGAAAAAATCATTTAATAGTTATAACACTCTAATATTTTGACATTTAACATTGTTGAAATTTTTGTTCTATTTCTAGAGTTTTTTATTAATTTTTAAAATTTTAATTTTTGTCCCATATCTTACATATAATTTTGTATCAGGATTTCTTCATTAAAAGACATGTTTTCTAAAAAGAAATACTGGGAAATAAATATAAACAAAGTTAAGTGAGATTTTGCTACCATAACAGACCTAAACATTTATAACACATTGTGATTTTTAAGCCCTTGTACCCATATCACCTCTAAAGTCACCTTATTTTATTTATTGAGTTTTTAATTATAACCCATTAACAGTTGTAAATATTGTTAAAATTGGTCACAAGAAATAAACTCATTCAAGATAATATCCAGAAAATTACATTATCCTTTTCTTCCTTGGTTTCCTGAACTCATCTTGTGCTAATTCAGCATATAATATTTACTGGAATATATAATATTTACTCTGTATGTACTAACGTGGTGCTCTAAATCCAATTATGGAAAATTGGAAATTCTTGTGATTATTCATTTTTACTCATACAATTATGATGCATCATCTATCAAGGCAGAATTTAGAAAAAAGAGAAATGTTACACTGAAGCATCGATATCTCAATTTCCCAAGAATTACAGAGTAGATCTGTTTGTATAAAGTTTATTGCCTCAAACTCTTTGATCCCCATTTACATGACAATATAAAAATAGTTTCAAAAATTGTAAAATGAATTCTATCAGTCTATCTTCTCTTTGGCTTTGTTATAGTCAATGATGCTCAGCTCCTCCAATAAGACCAAGCATTCCAGTCCAGAGGATCTTTCTGAACCATTAGTGCCTATGCTCCACCTAGCACGTTTTAAGCAGCATTTTCATGATTATTACCTCTTCATTTAACCTACTGATCTTTTAATTTTATGAAAATCAAATATCTAGCTCCTAAGACAAATAGGTATGTCTCAGTGAAATCCCTATGTCCCTTGAAAATAATTAAATAACTTAATTATTCCAGTAAACTGCATTTTAAAACTTCTTCTAAAATATTTAGCTCTTATAATATAGATTCTGTCTGAGAGGACTAGAAATATCCTATATTATGGCTGAAATACTAAGCAAAAACTCAACTGCTGCTGGAAAATGACAAAAATGCTCCCTTTTGTTTTAAATAAATTGCAAATGCTTCCAATACTTGAATAATGTAAACTTGAAAAATGGAAAATATTTGTGAATCTAATAAGCTCTTTTGAAAGAGAGAGACAGGATTAAACATCACTTTGCTACATATGTGGTGTGACATTTTTGTTTTGTTCCAAGTTATTTTACTTTTTGTGTGACTCTGGAGTTTGTAAACATGCCATAAAATTTGATAATTACATAATGATGATTTCATGGTTCTCACTTAGTATAAAGGTGGCTAGACAGGGCAGCAAAATTGATTTTCTTTTTTACCTTTGTGGAAAGAAACAAAAGGAAATTGAATGCAAAATCTGCATTAAGATTATATTGGAATTATAACTCAACAATCTGTTACACATGAAATGAAAACCAGATGCAGCCAAGTGTTAGGTACTGTGGTACAATATTCAGCCAGTGGGTTAAGTTTAAACAACCTTTTGTTTAACCCATGCCTTGTTTTGTTACCCATAATGTTCCAAATGCATATGACCTGAAACTATCTCTTGTCTCCTCTTGCCAAAGGTACTCAGAGGCAGGACTGTCCCTAGGCAAAATCGTGAAGTAGGTGAATCTTGTGTTCATTCCCTACCCTTTTGCAATGATAATGTCACCTTAGATTCTCTCCACCTTCCTGTCACCAAGTGCCTACTCCAGCTGCTTATCGCTCTGGATTTACCCTCTGTTTTCCAGGGCGCTCATGCTGTTTCTTGTTGTCCAATCCCTCTTTGATGGTATAATTTCCCTACTCAAAAAAGTGGCTCCCCCCAAGGAGCCAGGCAATGAAGGTTCTTCCCATCTTTTGAGTCTTAATTCCCACTGACCCTGCACCACAATATTCTACTACAAGTGAATCACTCACCTTACCCTTTTTGTTTCTATATCTTTTCCGTGCTATTCTTTTTGTCTGAGCTGGCCTCCCATTCTCATCTCCATCTGTGGGAATCCTAATCATTACTCAAGGTTCAACTCATTTGTATGTCCTCTACATGGCTTCCCTGATCATTCCCGGCCTCTCTCCTCTATACCTCATCTATTCCACTCATATGGCACTTACCACATGTTGCTTTGTATTATAATATTTATGTATGTGTCTTGTCTCCAGGCACTGTGCTGGGCGCTTTACAAATGTAATCTCATTTAAATTTCACAACAATCTAATGAGGTAGGTATTACTAAATCATTTAACAGTTGAGGAAACTGAGGTTCAAACAGGTTAAATAATTTGCCCAAGGTCACACTGCTAGAACAAAACAGAGTTAAGAATTGAACCCAGGTCCAAAATATATATTCTTTCCACAAAACCATATTGCCATCTATTTAGTTCTTTTCCATCTCCTGAAAGATGGAATAGAGGTGTAAAATATAGGAAGAAGCCAACTTAGGCTTTCTAATTATCATATGCATATTCAACAAAAAGGTAGAATTTGTTGATAATTACTATGTTCCTAGCTAGAGCTGATTTGTTAACTATAGTCCATAAGGAATTCAAATAAAATGGGAGAAATTAAAAATCCTTACCTAAAGTTTCCAGAACAAACATGACATAAGAAGAGAATGTTTAAGACAATTCATAATTTAAAAAAGGCTAAATAACATTGGTCTCTGAGCACTACTGGAAAATAAGTACAAGGAAAAGAAGAAAACATGAGGTTGACTAAGAAAGGCTTCCTACCAGTCCCCTAGGATTTAAACAATCTGTGGTGGTTAGAAGGCTGAAGGTATGATTTCATCCTAAACCTTTCACAAACAAACAATATCTCTATTGAGTATAAAGCCCATTTTTTCCTTCCATCTCTAGTGTGCCATCTTGAATAAATTAGGGGAAAGGAGATGAGTGTTTCTAAGAGAGAAATCTCATCCCCAATGAACAACTTTTACAACTGCCCTCTCCAGTAGCCAGCCCAACCATGGATTATGAGCTGTATCCTGGACAGGCCCATTCTCAAGAGTCTTCAGCCTAGAACCAGTCTCCCATTGGTCACATGACAGAGGTCCCATCTTGAGAAGAATTTAGACTTAGGGTGTGTATGTGTGTGTGTGTTTAAAGGATTTGTTTATTTGAGAGTGAGACAGCACCAGTGGGGGGGGGCAGTGGGAGAGGGAGAGAGAATCTCAAGCAGACTCCCTGCTGAGCATGGGACTCCATCTCACATCACTGAGATCACGACCTGAGCTAAAACTAAGAGCTGGACACTTAACCAACTGACCCAGCCAGGCACCCCAGGGTCTCTTTGTGTTTTGGCACCACTGCTTTTGCTTCTCATTTTCTAGTCCCCCCAGCTTGTTGTATTATCAGTTGCATATTTTCTTAACATGAGTAAGATGCAGTTATCATTAAACATGTGCTCTCAGTGCACCTCTGTTAACTTCTTTTTTTTTTAATAATTTTATTTTTTATAAATAAATAAATAATATATATATATATATATATATATATATATATATATAATTTTCCCCCCCAGGGGTACAGGTCTGTGAATCTCCACATTTACAAACTTCACAGCACTCACCATAGCACATACCCTACCCAATGTCCATAACCTCCCCTCTCCCAACCCCCCTCTGCCCAGCAACCCTCAGTTTGTTTTGTGAGATTAAGAGTCACTTATGGTTTGTCTCCCTCCCAATCCCAACTTGTTTCATTTACTCTTCTCCTACCACATTAACCCCCCATGTTGCATCTCCTCTCCCTCATAGCAGGGAGATCATATGATAGTTGTCTTTCTCTGATTGACTTATTTCGCTAAGCATGATAACCTCTGTTAACTTCTGCCAGTCATCTCAACTTTGCTTGCCAAACTCCTTTTCAATTTATGTGTGTTCCCTGTATGCCAATCCTATGCATATATGACTCTCCACACTTGTTCTTCATACCAATCTTAATAACAATTTTAAAAATTTTGGGGAAAAATAATGTGTCTGATCGAAGCTTGAATATAGCAGGGCATACTGGACTTCAGGCCCTATTTTGGAAAGCCTGAGAATTTCCATTTTAGTTATGTGTGAAATCTGAGTAATTCAATGAGCCCAACAGGAAAACTACCTTCACCTAAACTGAAATTCAAAACACAAAAACTCCTTTTTCTTTTCTCCAAAGTTTTTTATGATTTTTCTTGTCTTCCATAGAAGTCCTCAAAGTTAATTCATTTTTTTTTCTTTTTCTTTTGAAATAATTATAGATTCATGAGAAGTTGGAAGAAAAAGGTACAAGGAGACCCTGTGTACCCTTCACCCCATTTCTTTCCATTGTTATATCTTAACGTAATTGTAGTACACTATCGAGGCCGGGAAATTGACATCAGTCTCATTCACTTTTAAATTTTAAAAACGAAGGGAAAATATCTAACTGACGACGACTTAGTTTTGTGTTTCACTCTACATTCTGTTTCTACTCAAAAGCAGTAACCAGATTGACAGTGTTGGATACAAAAGGTGGTATGCCCATACACCCACAGAGAAACTTCTCCCACATTGCTGGAGATGATCATCAGGACTCATGCAGACTTTTGGTCAGTGTCATAGGTGGTGGGAGGGAGCCTCAGAAGACCCGGGCTGGAATCTGATTCTGCCTCCTAATGTGTGACCTTGAGCAAGTCACTTGACCTTTCCAAGCTTCAGTGTCTTCATCTTTAAAATGGAGGAACTGTTTCTCCTGCCTACTTCATAGGGTTGTTGTGAGGATCAAATGTGATGATGTGTATGAAGGAAGGAGGTAGGCTGTGAATCAACAGTCATGAAGTTTATTATTCTTTTCTGAAACTATGCCTATTATAGAAGTTTAGTTTTTCAAAGGTGATTTTATTCTTAGAAACAAAACAAACCCACCTCCTTATTAGCCACAAGGCCTAGAATTTCCATTTTATGTAAATGACCTTGCCTTTCTACCACTCTTAGTAGGACAGGTACTAACAATATATTGGACAAGCACTCTGTGACTCATTACCTACACACCCCGAGGCATACTATCTATTTTAAAATAAATATTTCTTAACATTTTCTTCTGAAAGGTCGAATGCATTTTGAGTAGCTTTTATTTTTATCCTGACCACAGGATTTATTCTTGCTTTTTTTTTTTTTTCAGCCATGAGACATATAATAATAGGTGCTCTTGACAATAGTGAGAAATTATAAGGATACCAGATTAGAAAGCAGATGGTTTATGAAGTAGAAATGGAAATCATCCAAACTGTATTGTTCTTTGGTTTATCTGGATTTATAATATAAACTCTTAACTCACTGGTGGATTCTGATGTGTGAGTTGTAAAAATGCTAGTCTTGGCAGTAAGGGTAGAAAAATGTATAGGATACAGTAAACTTAAATCATGGAAAGTAAGATAAAAGTATTTGTGTGTACTGAATGTTTTGGGAACCAAGATAAAAGTGTTAAGATTTGTTTTCTCTTCTTTCCTTCCTGTATACAGGCTGGCATGGCTCTGACCTATGACCCCACAGCTGCCATACAGAATGGGTAAGTAGACAACATTTTCTCTATTTTAATTGCTAAGGTATCTTTGATCTCTGGAATCAGTACTGAAGAAAAATGTCCAAACCATTCTTTTGTTTTAAATCTTCAAGAAACTTTAAACCAAACATTTCTTATCGTTATAATTTTTTCTTCTCATGTGTGACTCTGACTTCATAACATCTTCCATGTCCTCTGTTCCCGCATGGTCTCTACCCACATTATATGTCCCTCCCTCATGCTCTTTTTCTCTCTCCCTTAGAATAAGGAATGTAAAGAGGGAGCACAGATAGAGCTAAGCTGGAAGGTGTACCTGTGTGTCTCTGGGATAAGAGTATTCCCCTGCTGGTAACTCTAGAATTCCAATGATTTTAGTGTTTTTCCAGTTCATTTAAACATAAATAATTCTTTAGCTATTTTCTTCTGGCTATTAGGGGAAGACAATGGACAGAGTCAAGTTAGAAACTTAGTGATTGTGTCTTCCCTCTTTATTTTATGTATTTATTTCATTAATTTATTTATTTATGTTTGGGGAGAGAGGAAAAGGGAGAGAGGCATGGAGAATCTTAAGCAGGCTCCATGCCCACCACGGAGCCCAATGTAGGGCTCAGTCTCACAAGATCATGACCTGAGCCAAAATCAAGAGTCAGACATTTAACTAACTGAACCACACAGACACCCATTACTCCTTATTTTAATAAGCATCTGGAAATTTATAACCTCTTACTTAGAATAAATCACATAGCTTAGGATCCTTCCTTGAGAAATAAGACAAACTACATGACCTGAACTCTCAAAAATTCTGTGATTCTGAGTATCTTGTGTTGAAGCTTTCTTCTCAGTTTCAATCCCTTCTCTTTGCTTTGACTGTCCTGCAATTGACAGTAATTATTCTTTATTCTTTGATTGGTTGCTTATTTTATTTTCATAGCCTTCCATCTTGGATTTCTCCATGGCTTTCAGTTTTCTGTCTTATAGTCTCATTAAAGAATCAATCAGAATGAAGACCTCATTTAAGATCAATGTAGAATGATAAAAAGATGCAAGCTCTATTTTCTATTTAATCAGCTGCCTTTAATTTAATGAAAATCTGTGAGATAGTGGGAATATTTAAATATCTCCTATTCTTAATAAAGTTACTCATTTAGTAAGTGATTTATTCATTCATTCAAAAAACATCCAATGAGTCTGCCAAGCACTTTGCTATGCTTTATAGATTTAAAAAATCTTGTATGAGACAAGATCTTTGCCTTCAAGGAACTCAGAGTCCACCCTTCCATAAAAGAGTAAACATGGGTGGTAAGTTAGGGAAGGAGTCTAGTCCTTTCTTCCTTTTTAATCAAAACTTCTCTCCAGGAGCAAAATTAGGGATTTATCCAGTAAACATGTTCTTATTTCCAATAAGGCACTATAAACTTGGAGGGTAAAAAGAAGGAAAGAAATGCAGAAGAAAGTCCTCAAGAATCACATTGTATAGCTGGGGAAATAAAATAACTAACTCAAAAGGAATGAAATAAGGCATTATATGCTAAGTGATGGTGACAGAAAATAGGTATTATAATGGAAGAGAATAGATTTATTGAACACATACTATGTACCAAGTACTTTATATTTGTAACTTAAGGTGTTTGGGAGCAGAATCAAATACATGAAATATACATGTAGGTGCAATTAGAAATGTATATACATAAATGAAAATAGAAATAATAATTGAATGAGTATCATGTGTTCACTAACCAGCTTCAATAAGTACTAATATTTTGCATACCCTGTATGTATGTATATATCCATCTGTAATATTTATCTATATATCTATTATAAATTCCTTCTTACCCATTGCTCTACATGAAGGATTAGAAATGCAGCAGTGACCTAGGCCTGGACTACAATGAGAGAATGATGCTTTCTTATGCATTGTTTTAGGCAATCGTCTTTCTGATGCATAATTTAAAATCTGACTGTCTTCTTGAAAGACATACTTTTCCAAGTGTTTATCCTGATTTACCACAGACCTAAAGAGAAAGTAAAAAGGGATTTCTGTTCCTAATCTGAGCCACCAAAAGGGAGCTTTGGGTTAATGCTGTGTTGGAGGGTGTGAGGACTGCATGGAACACAGGGAACATTTCTCCCTTCCGCAGGCCCTCTCCTCACATTTCAACTCGCTGCCCATTTGCCACATTGAGATTGGCTGCAGGTCCATCTGTGCACTTTATTTATTTATTTTTAAATTTTTTAATTTTTTCATTGACATATAATGTCTTATTAGCCCTAGGGGTACAGGTCTGTGAATCCACAGGTTTACACACTTCACAGCACTCACCATAGCACATAGCAATCACCCTCTGCATACTCCCCTCCCTCAGCAACCCTCAGTTTGTTTTGTGAGATTAAGAGTCTCTTATGCATCTGTGCATTTTAAATCAGCCTCTCTATGACATATCTTTTTCTGTACCTTATAGCAACAGTGTTACACTCTATCCTTGGAACTATTTGAAGAGTTGCAAAAATGGTTCACCCTTTTCACGGCCCACTTAAACATTTACAGCAATGAATAGTTCCCTCATGAAACACATTTTTGTTAAGAAGCTGAGGATACCCATCTTGAGAATCCTGTCATCTGATCTACTCTTGTTGACAAAGAACTGTATGCCCTTGACCAGTCCCTCTCTTCAATACCTTCTTGTCCGCTGAATATTCCTTTCAGCCTATAGAAATGCTGAAGCCTTTTCCACCAGTCAAGAGGGTAGAAGCAAAACAATTTTCATACCTAGGACATCACTTCTAGTGACCACACTATGTTAGCCTTCTTTTCACTGCTAAACAACTTCAGTTGTCTTTACACAGTCTTCCCATATTATTTTCCAATGAAGCTTACTAAATTATGAAGTCTGGTTTCAAACTTGACTGGAATTTCCTTTGCTGATGTTCCCAATGATCTCCAAATGTATCCATTATAACGGACACCCTTTTGGTTCTTAGGCCATTTGATATCTTGCCTCATTCGAATTGTCATTGTTACCATTTATACCTTTTTGGAAATTTCTTACCTCTTGGATCCCACAGCTCCATTCCCTGCTGATCCTCTGGCTCTGTACTCTTCCCACTCACTTGGTCTCTTCTAATTCCTCCTCTTTTCCCCACTTACAGTAATCTTTCTTAGGGTTTTGTCTTTTTCTTAGTTGATCTCATCCATTCCTCTTGCTTTTGGAACCTGAAGATTCCCAAGCTGACACTTGGAATTCATAAGTAGATGCAGGGCCCAATAATTATTCTTTGGTTGGCTGGTTATTTTATTACCTGTGTTTCTAACTGCTTATTAGGTATTGCTCTTAGATACCTTTTCTGTCCCAAAGTGAGATCATTAACTTCATCAGTGTTTCCTAATACAAACCAAACAAATTCAAATGAAAACCAATCATGAAATTTGCTTCCTTTTTTTCCCAATAATTCACTCTAAAGCCATTTCGGCCATAAACTCCGGTTCTCTGGGTTCTCTCTTTTACAACATTCTTGATAAAATTGGTCATTAAAACTTATTCAGTCTATCTTTGAACTATATCTTCACCCCAGCTCCTGCTCCTTGCCACTGGTTGAGTTCATTCAGTCTCCTTTCCTACCTGTACTAATCTTTTATCTGTGTCTAATATAGCTTTCCTACAAAACGTTTTCACATTTTTTAATGTGTGTGTATATATATATATATAAATTTTATATATAAATGTATAAATGTATTACATTTATTTATATTATTAGAATTAATATATATCTAAATAATATATAAATATACATTCATATTTAAAATAAATATATAATATATATAAATATATAATACATATATTAATTAATTAATTAAAATGTAATCCGGTAATCATCTCCCTCCCTGTCTGGTTTAAGGTATTAGGTAGACTTTCCTAACTATAGAATAAAACTCAAACTTCCAAGAATGGTGTGCACATGCACACACACACAGACACTAATAATACTATAATATATAATATATATGTTTTATGTATATATATATACATATACATGTACATAAACATATAGGTATACATATATATGTCTAGATATGTATACTAGTAATACCCCATAACTTGGTTCCTGAAAATCATATGAACCTTCTCAGAACATTCCATGCTACTTTACATTTTTGTGTCTTGTTACTCATGGAATTCTCTGCCTGGAGGGAATGGTAATTTTCTTCCTTCTCTCTCTCTTTCCTTCTTTCCATCATTTTTTAAAACACTGCTGTCCTTTGAAGGACACAGTCAAGTGATTCCAGGCAGAAGCTAATTACACAACCAGTCAGAAGAGAAACAGTATGAGCAGTGGTTGGGAGTGCATACCCCAGAATCAGCCTGCCAATATGCACAACCAAATTATGTTATTCACCAGAAACAGGCCAGTTGTTTGTGCTTTAGTTTTGCTCCTCTGTGAAGTGGAGATGATAGTAAGACTTTGTAAGGATTAAAGGAACTCTGTATGGTACAATGTAACTGTCAGTGTAAGTATTGATGTTATTGTTGCATTAGAGTTCAAGGTACCATGATACATTTGACAGTCTATTTACCACGTAGTTGTTGACACCATGTTTATTTCCCTGCTGGGATATTAACTCAGTGAAGGCAGGTTTCATGCTTTATTCATCTTTATTGATTGTTTAACCCAGTATCGTAAATGTTAAAGAAGAAATAGGAAATGTAACCAATGATATCTTCTTGGCCCCAACAAATTGCCATTAGAGAAACCATTCCTTTCGCAGCATCAATTTACTCTGTCCCCATGTAACACTTTAATCTGTTTCTCTTTAAGTATATGGCCTCCAGTTTCACCCAAAGTATCCAAATTGCCCATGAATTTATCACATCTTGAGTTAAGAATGGAGTTTTAGAAGACTCATACTGTCTATTGTGTTGTCGATAACAAGATAGAAATTTTATATAATGAAAAGGAAAGAAGACAAAGATTGCAGTGAATTAATCTTACTCATTTGACACTACTTCATA